CCCACAACCAAAGTCAGTGGGGAAGCCAGCAGGAAGTTGCAAGTCCCAGGCCAGCAGGCAGATAAGTGGCTACTGCCAGGTGGGGGGTGCTTGAGGGTGTGAGGGGGTGCATGAGAGGCGCCGTGCAGTTGGGGAGGGTGTGCGGCAGTGCGTGGTGGTGCACAGTGTGAGAAAGGCACCATGCAGGTTGGTGAGGATGGGTGGGGGTACATGGCAGTGCATGAGGGGCACTGCCTGGGTTGGGGAGGGTGCATGGCAGTGCACAAGAGGCGCTGCATGGGTCAGGGAGGGTGTGGTGTGCAGCGGTGTCTGAGAGTCACCATGCAGGTCAAGGAGGGTGCACAGGGGTGCGCAAGGTGTTGTGCAGGTTGGGGAGGGTGCATGGGCATGTGTGCAGGTGTGCACAAGTGGCCAGCACAGCACGAGCACAGAGGGGCTGGAGAGGGTACATGGGTGGGGGAGACTTACCCAGTGAACTGAAACCTTCCCTGCTGCCTTCCCCGTTGACTTTCTGGGGAAGACAGCAGGGAAGGTTGCAAATGGCAATCACATGATTGCAGGATGCTCGGCAACCAGTCATAAGTGTGAATGGCTTGCCAAGCACCCAGATCATGATCATGTGACCATGGGGGTGCTGGGACAGTTATAACTCTGAGGACCAATCATAACCACCATTCGTTCAGCACCGTCGTAACTTCAAACAGTCACTGAACTAATAGTTGTAAGTCGAGGAATACTTGTATTAGTACTTTATCTCAATAGATCAATGAATAGTGCAGTGGTTTAAAAGTTTGGTCCATCTGACTCCATCTTCTAGTTTTTCTTTAAATATTTTTCTCTTACTTAATAATTCTTCAGCAAGACAAAAATATAGATCCGGGGAACATAGTGTAATCATCCAGCTTGACCTGTCTGTAGTCTCCAGTAATGAAAAACAAATGTGAAAATTATTTGAAACATGTTCCCTACTTTATTTGGCAGGAATTCCTTGACACTATTAAGAATATAGCAGATACGTCCAGCTGTTCTTGATGGTTGGTACAGAAGGTTTTGTATGACCTTTGCATGCACCCTTGTTCCAAGGGAGTTGTGAGGAAATTCTTTGTTACTTGCTATTTTCCCTTCAGCAACCTGTGTGAAATATTTAGCTCCAATCCTAGAAGGAGAAAGAGGATTGATCTGACTCCCAGAAGACGTTATTTCCTGCTTGTCTTTAATAATATAATCTCTTTATGGATACACCAAGATTGGCTCAGGCAGCTGCTGAAAGCCATGAGAAATTTGGTTGATGTAAATAATCATGTACTCTCTTTTATAGATCTGTTTGGGTTTACATTGTTTATCATTTGTTGTTTTTCTCTCTCTGATCTTCATGGAATATAATTTTATTTATTTTTATTTATTTATTTAACTTGTCCCCGCCCATCT